CTGCTCCATATACCGTCACCGCGGCAGTTGGCAGACTTTCGGACAAAGCCTTTGCCTACTACACAATTTGCATTGCTTCGTCAATTGAGTGGATTTGGTGAACCGGAAACAAGTTGAGAGCTGAAACGAGCATCAACTTGAGGGGGAGTGTCAAGACTGTATCGCGTCGCAGATTGTGTATAACACACAAAGGCAACTTGTGCAAGTACGTGTTGCAGTATCGAATGTTCACGAACAAATGATCATTTTTGTCAGGGTTCTAGATGCCAGAAGTTCGAAGCAGACAACTAAGTAGCGTACGATGTTGTAGCTCACTTTCCAATTTACCATCGCGAGAACAAGTTGAAATTGAGATCGACGTACATTGTTCAAGTTATGATCTCGCAAAGATCGCGCCTTCTTATTTTCTAGGTTCACGTTCTAATTACATCGTTTAGTATTTTCGAATTCGAGATAGGCTACATGAACCGACTATGATGATCACAATGAATTTTGTTAGAAACAAGATTATGAGTTGCTCGTCTTTTGTACAAAGATTGATGGACGCAGCCTTCTTGTAAATTGCAAAAAGGTATTTCAGCAGCATCTTTCTATCGAATCATGTTGCACGTGCAAAGCGCAATTGTAAATCGCTCAATAAAGTTAATTATAGAGCGAGCAACGCAAGCCGATCAACTTCTCCGACATTGATATAAATTTTGATGGAATGATTGCAAAGCGAGTGCTTTATATTTATGTCACGTGACGTGTTATTCAAATTAATAATGCATAGGTGCTTTTAAACAGCTCATTTTGATTATATGTAGCTCTTGCTGAATAAAAAATACTTAATGTTTAAGCTCTCGGCTCCACCCAACGGTGGTCGACCTTTGTGCATTTGCAAATGCAGACACTTTAAGTGGAAATTTATGTGCGCAAATTAGCAAGCGCAAGGCAACCCGTTGCACTTAGTAACATTCGTAGTCAATTCTTCAAACGAGTCATGAAACGACTGAGGACGGACCATGTGATGTCCCTGTCTTAGGAGCAATAAGATGTGAACATGAGTTTATTGTTGGTTCCGATGGGATCAGGCAACTGACAACTACAGGGTCAGCTGCGGTAGTGATCCATCTGGAGGTGTCCACTATCAAAGTGCGTTGGTTTGACACCTCCAGGACCGCCTAAATCGAGCGCTCGGCGAAATAGCAAAATGCATCTGCTTATGCTTAGCCTCCTGGAGTTAAAAGATCAAATGAAAATGATATAATAAACCTTGTTTGATCGATGGTCAAATGTCGCTCAATCATCATTTGATCATTCGAAATGCCCTCATTTTACTTAGAAAATAATCAAATGGCTTTTTAAATCATCTCCCTGTGCCGGTTTAAGCTGGGCTCTTTATAGACAGAGATACATTATATTTATCTTATGTTGTTTACGCAGGAGAAAAGGTGACTTTATCCAGCGATGGAGCTACCAATATCGCCAACATTCGTCCTGTTTATCACGAAAATGCCTTTAAATCCTGCCGTGCAGCAGACAGCCGACGTGAATCACCAGTCTCTTCTTCCCATCACTGTAGTATACCGATACTTCAGTGCCCTCGACTATATACAATTGCGCTTAAGGGGGATGTATTTTGTACAATTGTGCAGTATTACTTTAGTACAATTGAATCAAAATTGCAGCGTGTTAGTACGCATGATAGCCGTACACACCTCATTAAATTAAGCTTGACGACACAATTTATCGTGCCGAACCGATCTGCAACCTTTCGGTAGCTCTCGTAGTACGGACATCTGATCAACTTGTTCGGTTATCCGCCCATGACCCGTTACACAAAAAAGGGGGCTTCTAGTTGCATATCAAACATACCGACGAGCGACATTCTGGATCCCATAAGCTTCCGATACTGTGGAGTCCCTCCAAATTGATAGACTGATCATACGTTTTTTAAACAGGTCGATCAGCTTTCTAATGCATTTTAAGAGCTGTCCAATCGGATTGGTTAACTCAAGGCACATAAGCGGTTCAAGCCCGGATGTCTACTGTAGAGGAAGAAAATAATTAGCAACAGAAACTGGTTTGACATTTTTTTGTATTCAACAGAGGACCTTGTGTATGATTGGTCCTGAGAGCGGGGTCGTAGTATGACATCAGTAAGCCCAATTGAATGAAGAATGTGATTGCATTCCCCTAATGAAGTGGAGAGTACAACTCGCTCCTTCACTGGCTACGACCGTGAAGAATTCATATCAACAAGAGGAATTATGGCTCCAAGATTGCTTTCACTAGAACGAACAGCGCTCGATAGTTTTTTGTTGTTTGCCACAACTACATGAGTAATTTGTCTGTGTTTAGCATATTCATGTAGCTTCGGTATATTCAAGGTTGCAGTTGAAGCGCTGCAGCTGGCCTATGACGCTCAAGTTCTTCGGTATCAAATCTCTAATTTTGCTTAAAACGTGTAGTCGGGTGATTTTGCAAGTCAATCCGTATCGACATCTTATCCTGATAAGCATCATTTCGACTAGTAGAGAGGTCCAGGAAGCACGAAAATCCTGATGCGACTTCAATGGTTGCTTTAGTACCATCACCACACGATAAATGTACTCCAACTGACTTATGTGTGGTAATGGACAGCTTTAATTTGGTGCTAGGCATCGCGAATAAACCTCGAATCTGTTTTGCTTCAAATAGAGGACCTTGAATGAAGGCAATTGCCACCAGAAGTTTATTAAGCGAGAACTCTGTCGAGGAACAGCCGGACCGATTCCGGCGATGCTGTCAGCAGCGAGGTGAACTATGTTGTCTAGACAGTCCACAATGAACTTAATGCTGGAATAACCCAAATCGTCTATCAAAAATCCAGCACTAATGCATATCAATGGACTGACCACACTATGGCAAAACTGGCAGACTTGTCAAAGGCGCTGAATTTTTCGGTAAGGGTTTGGCCCGTTGTCTCGTTGTGCGATGTGCAAACCTTATGCTCATGTATGGGTAACCTTAAGCGCTCACTTGATCGTATGTTTTTAATTCAAAAGGTGGCACCCCAAGGGCAATCATGTGACTTGAAAGGTTTTCTAACCATTACGTCCTAAGCAGGAATGGTTACCATTCGTGAAGGGTCGAGCGGATCGATAGCATGTTTTGAAAGAATGGGGGACAGGTGTAAAGGAGCTTGCAAACGTTTTTATAAGGCGACATCCAAATTCAAAAACGCGTGACGCCATTCCTTATACAGTGAACCATTGTTATATCTGACTTTAACAAAGCCTCTTGCGTTATCCTCTTCTGACGTTTCAGTCTATTTGACGTTCTACATGTTGCCACAGTCTGTGCTTTACATCAAGCTGATGCCAACACGCATGAACATGTTGTTGCATTAGCGCCTTGTTCCGCTAAACGTTGCACCATAACGTCATTGTCAATGAGATACAACAGCTCGTTAGAAGCCATTTAGAGTTGAAGCAGATCATGCAGCAATACGCTAAGCGCCATCATCGCCACTATTGACAGCGTTTGACGATGAAGCTATTCTTTTAGCCGGGAAAACTCGAAGGAGAACGCAAGCTTAATGATGTCGGATGCAGTTTAGAATCGCCTAAATTGCCATTTGTCAGAAATCACAAGGGTGGCATCGCGAAGCGATAATGCTATTCTTTCGTCGCCCGCTTCTGTCGCATCCCAGCAATACCTGACATCCTATATGAGGTGATTGATGAAGAACTGTGCCACGTTAACCAGATCGTCCATACTTATGCAGGTAGCGGAAAGAGGGTATTACAAGTCCACTCACTTTATTTCTCTGGGATTGTGCCATCAGCTGGGCTACAATGACACTGAGCTCTGCGCGAACTGCTCATCTAACATAATTTTCATAAAGCTACACGGTAGCTTTCCCTGCCACGAAGCGCTGAAAAGATGATCTTAACGCAATCACCCGTTTTTGCCCATTGCATCTGCATGGCACAATGCGCAGCCTACGATAAAGATTGATGCTTCCAGACGACTCGCCTCTTCTGTCGCACCAACCACCGTTTGACATCCTTTTTGAAGATTAGAGAGGGGCCAGGACATATCAGAAATACTTGCACTGTACTTATGCAAGTAATTGACCAGGCCAGAAAAAGTTCTAAAATTATTTCAAAGGCCCTGGCCAATCGACAAGGCACTTCATATTTGCTGGGTATGCCCGCACCCCCTATTTCCCAATAGAGAATCCAGAAATTTAGTCGGTGCCGAAGGCTCATTATTTACATTGACGAAGAGCATAAATTGATCGCAAACACCCGATCTTTCCAGCAGGTGATATTATACATCAATCCGATAAAAGTATTCATCTCATAACCCGCTTCGTGCTTTGCAAGTAAGAAAGCACCCATGACATCTCACAGTTTCCTTGGTATAAGCCATTGCCGTGTGACGCAACATGTGAATGTGGACAGACACACTCTTGAATCAGAGAGCTCAATCATGGTGAGTTATCGTCACCATGTGGTGGTATTACTTCGACAAATGATAGGAGAAAATCACAGGATCTTTGAGGGCAGTTGTCACACCCCTTGCACCCAGGGCCCTGCGAGTATCATCAGAACAGATCCATCTATGACGAATGAACAGTCCAGCTTTTCCTCTGATATCAACCGCTTAAAAATCAGTGGCTTCGCCATTTCGCCATCACTTGCACATACCTACTAGTAACTTATCATCCTGCTGACGAAGAACATCTGCTTGGCAGAGTGTGGAAAGGCTTACAGCTCCCCGGACGCTCCGTTCAGTTGCTAACTTTTTTCTCGATATTAAGTAGTGGAGCTACACTGCTTATCACGATTACGGTGTGCTGAACCAACGCTATCGTCACATCCAGACAAGGATGAATCATCTAGCCTAACTTTGTGCCCTGCTCAAATTTTGCGACATACGTTCGCACTGCTTCTCCATCGAGAATGCAACACCTAGTCGCTTCCACTCTCCAGCAGCCCTGACACAGCAGACACAAGCTTACGGCTGTGTTTTATCGTTTCACCAAAAATTTACTCTTGGAACCGAGACATACAATCGCCGTTTCTTGTTCGAATCCGGGACTGCGGCACACTGCTGCCTCTACCTCCATCACTTTGTAAGCGGCAATGAACATTGATATTACTATCAAATTTGAATACCCTATCTCCTTCATCAAAGTTATTGATACATCGTGCCCACGCCAAAACCATTTCCGCTCTGCCAGAGATATATTGATGACTTGCTCAATCTCAATCTAAAGAGAAAATGGCACTTAGCGTTTTCAACTTCCGGTCTATCCAATACTCCAGTCATTTAAACTGCGTCATAACGACGATATAATCGTAACTTGAATTTAGGTCTAGAACAAGATAATGTCGACTCTATGTTTGTTTAATTTACTTGAGGGCTCAAAGTAATATTTTACACCTGAACGACCCCGTTGCAAGATGCACGGTATCTCGTATTTTGAAGACCCACTAATTGCCAATTTTTTCTCGACAGCCGCGCATCGTTTTTATTTACACAACACTTCTGGATCGGTACGCCCCTGGGCGGTGATTCCTACTTATACAAGAGACTAGCATTTATCGCGACACCCGTGAAATACAATAGACCTCAGTTCTTTTCAGGTGGACCGTTTACGCCTAAATGGGTTTAGAATCTGCACGTAAAGATAGTCGGATTTTCTTGTGGTAAAGTGCGGCCCTTCAAACAACAATAATAAGGATTATATCTATTTTTTAGCATGGCTGAGGTCGATTGCCTGTGCCTTGCTCATAATGCTTTCACCTTCAGTACCCCATCAACCCCACACGACTCGGAATTTATTTCTTGTATCTCACAACATGGAAATATAATTTTATGAGTGCCGAAGATATATTAGTGAGCGTTTGCGAAAAGAATATATAGCATATACACTATATATAGCACAAACACTCGAGCATTACTCGCAAGGGTTTTATGAGGGTTTCCACATCCAGCTATATATGCTCAACGTTTACCTCGGATTGCTAACTTAGTGAAGAGGATATTACTGACATCCATGTGTAGTTGCTGACGGATTTTTACGAATAGAAGACCTTCTAATATTACAAGCCCCCATCAAATTTTCGACAATGTTCTAAGAATAAAAGACCGTTTCGATTAAAAGACTTTCTCAAATAAAAGGCCGCTGTAAACACCTTAGCACTGGGCCGATATTTTGAAATCGACCATGCGTCAAGCAATTGAGCTCGGAAAGAAGCAGGAGGCGATCAAGTGATTTCGGCGAGCAAGGTGGTGGCGTGCCGAGTCGCGCGGTGCCTCACTTTCGCAAGACGGGTGGAGTGTTGATGCTGCCACATTTCGAAAGTGGTGGCTCAACAGAGACGAGATTTTGAGTGCTCAATATCGACCGCCGACTTCGCAAAGAGAAGGTCACACGAGAATGGATTGTGTTGGCTGCACGTGAGCTTTACGGATCGCTGGATGAAGATGGATCTGCTTTTGTGGCG